GGCTAATTTTTTCTACATATTTTTAGTTGTCCAGCTAATTTCTTTCTATTTTTTTTAGTAGAGACAGGGGTCTCGCTCTTGCTCAGGTTGGTCTCGAACTCCTGACCTCGAGCGATCCTCCCACCTCGGCCTCCCAGAGTGCTGGGACTACAGGCATGCGCCACCATGCCCGACTGATTTTTTCTATATATTTTTAGTTGTCCTGCTAATTTCTTTCTATTTTTTTTTAGTAGAGACGGGGTCTCGCTCTTGCTCAGGCTGGTCTCGAACTCCTGACCTCGAGCGATCCTCCCTCCTCGGCCTCCCAGAGTGCCAGGATGACACACCATGCCTGGCCTCCAATCCTATTTTTAATGATTGCCAGTACTACTTGGGGTGGCTCTACTAGAATGTTTTTAATCATTATCCTATTGTTGGACGTTTAGGTTGTTAGTTGAACGTCTAGACATTTCTCTTAAAAGGCTTAAATTAAAACATTAAAGGTGATCTCTTAAAGGTACCTGCTTTCGTCTTAGGGACGATGTTTCGCTGTGACTGAACTAGCTGTGTTCATTTTCCTCAGTCTCTCCTAAAATCCTCTTGCCTGGTTCTCGCTTCAGTGGGAGATTCTTCACGGTGAAGCTTCCAGTTGCTCTCGATCCTGGATCCAAGATTTCAGTCGTTGTGGAAACCGTCTACACCCATGTGCTTCACCCGTATCCGACCCAGATCACCCAGTCCGAGAAGCAGTTCGTGGTGTTTGAGGGGAACCACTATTTCTACTCTCCTTACCCAACGAAGACACAGACCACGCGTGTGAAGCTTGCCTCCCGAAACGTGGAGAGCTACACCAAGCTGGGGAGCCCTGCGCGCTCCGAGGACCTCCTGGATTATGGGCCTTTCAAAGATGTCCCTGCGTATAGCCAGGTAGGCTCAAGTGGAGTCCAGCCCACGTCTGTCTGCTCCAGAGAATGTCTTGCGGAGTGACTACTGGTCGATAGGCTTGGGCAGTGTGAGGTTCTCCATTTATTTTTTGGAGACAGAGTCTCGCTCTGTTGCCCGGGCTAGAGTGCCGTGGCGTCAGCCTCGCTCACAGCAACCTCCAACTCCTGGGCTCAAGA